TTCTTTATAATATCAGATCTTGATTTTATGGAACAACATTGCGAACGACGCTTTGCAAACTTTAACTTACGAAATGAAATGTGTGACTTTCTGCTCATTTCGTTTTCTTCCTCAAATAAACTAAAATATTAAATATATGTTTGTATATGTTATATGTTTGTATAATTTATATGATATTATTTATTTGAAAAAATATTTATTAATTTTTGTTGAATTATATGCATGCGCATATAACACGGTTTTTTCGGATTTAAGTTAATTTCAAGCTGACCATTTTTGAAATGTTATATAAAATTCATAGTATTAATTAATTTTGTTATCGTCAAGTTAGTTTTACTATTTAATTATATATTTAAAAAGTAATATTTATCTAAATTGATTATCTACATTGATGAAACTCACGTGGAGAAAGGGTGTCTTGTGTCTAATTTCATTTGACATAATTTTATTCAAAAAAATTCAAAAATACACATGTTTTCATTTTTTTTATTAGTATTTGGTGGAAAAAAAATGGACTTATTTCTGTTCAAACTTGTCAACTTGTTATAAAGCGATATAAAATAATTATAACGCACACGATTAATCATTAAATCGCGTCAGACCGCGTAATACAAATCTTATGTACTCTGTAAGATAGTCATCATCCGATTATCAGACTTGTGCGTACATATTTGAACGTAAGATTTGTGACGTGTTACAATAATAATTTGCATTGTCTCACGGCTAAACTTAGCGGGGAAAAAAAGGCCGCGCGCTGCCGAAATTTGTGTTTCTCTCAAAGGAATGGCCGATTATGTTGTCGTCACTAATGCTTAGGTATATATCCGCGCAGGTGTGCACACGTATTTGATGAGAACACGTCTAATCTGACCAGCAAGGTCCTTTGAAGTCTCCTTATGTTGAGAAGAGATCAGACTCCACATGGGAGCTCTCTCTCTCAACCCGCGAGTACAATCCACGTCAAAAATATTCGGCATATGATATTCTAACATCGTTAGACTGTCACACCGTATTTTATAGATCTTGGAAAACATGTGTGCAATATAGTGCGCTTTTACTCATACTAGAATTAACACTCGAAGGCCGTAAATATGTCTCGACGTTAATCTTTAGTGTGTAATATGAGTCCCACATACATTTGACGTAGAGCATGTTGTTGCGTAAGAAAACGTGATAGAGAGAAGAGAGAGAGAGAGAGAGAGTGACATTGTGAATGGAAGGGAATCCTTATAGAAAAAAGAAAAGGAAAAAGAGAGATTACAAATGAACTAAAAGAAGACAGAGTCCATGCGAATTTTTATAATATGCTATTTATGCTAACATACATTTGACGTAGAGCATGTTGTTGCGTAAGAAAACGTGATAGAGAGAAGAGAGAGAGAGAGAGAGAGTGACATTGTGAATGGAAGGGAATCCTTATAGGGGGAGAGATTACAAATGAACTAATTTTGTATTTAGATTTCCACAGAGTCCATGCGAATAAAAAAATTATATAATATGCATTTATTTATTTATGGATTGCATTTCTTTAAAAAAAAAGAGGAAAGAGAAACATATGACATTTCACGACATTAATATGAATAATATTCATAATTTCTTTATTTTAAAACTATTTTAAACAGTGTATTAATATTAACATGTTTTAGACAGTTTGTGATTGGTTCATAAGCTCTTAAATAGGTATTTAAAATAATCATGATTATAAGGACTAATTATGAATACTATAAATAAAAATTAAAAAATGGTTACTATAATAAAGTTAATTACTGAAAAAATAGATTTTATATTTTATTGTAACTTTTATAATTATATTCTGTATACATATTGATAAGGAAGCTCTAATTTAGAATAAAGCAATATAAAGCTTAATGCAATTATTTCTTAATTTTCGTTTATTAACAATTCAAATGCAATTAGAAATGAAAAAAGAAGATATTTTAAAAAATAAATCTAATTAAATTAATTTATCTACTAAATCAAATTAATCAAATTAACATATCTACTAAAAATGTTTTAGTAAAGCTAAAGTTACAAATAAAATCTTGTTAAATTTTTGCTTAAAATTATTAAATGCATTAATATCTTTACACAATATACATTTACTCTAACATTTAGCTTTACATTTTATTGTCGATAAAAAATTTGCAATGACATGGCGAAAAACGACAAGATTAACGACGTGTTATTGGGTCCGAGAATAAGAATGTAAAACGAGCTTCATGTTGGCTTCTCATAAAGATCTAATTAGTGTATAAGATAAAATAAGTAAATAAGTAAAATAAATAAATTGAGAAGAGTCGACAACGTATCGTTGTAACTTTCTATTTTATCAATCACCGGCGATTCTTATTCTCAAATTCCCACACAATCGATGTCATGGTTTATTACTTTTGCTTTTCTCATTCTCACATGCCACGCTAATAATTTATGTTTGCACACGTTAATAATTTATAATATTTAATAACATAGTGAACTATCTCGACGCAATTTCAAACATGCAAAAGATTGAATATCGTCCGCGTGACGAGGAAGGATGCCATCATATTTAAAATGATAATTCTTACAAGCAAGCAAGGTACTTGGTCACGAGAAGATAAGACGCATTCTTCGTATAGTTACTGCCGATAAGACCGTTTTTACCATAATAATTTCTTAAAACGTTTTACAAATCTTCACGAAATATGGTGGCAGCGCTTATCTTACGGAATTTCTTCTTTCAATCATTAAAACAATTTCGTTCATAGTCCACAATTGACTAGCTTATCTAATAATAAATATCTATTAATATCTTTACTTTTTTGTTAACATTAATATAATTATTAATTTTCTATCATTTATCGCGTATTTATTTATTAAATTAATTTTATTTAAGCAATATTGCCGATTAAGTTTGGTCGAAATCAATCTAAATAATTAATATACAAAGTTCAGTAATTGAATCTAATAAATTTTTCAGTTTTGTGAAGAAATAGTTAATGTAATAAATATAACAATAATAATTTTCCAGTATTTCTATTTATAACAAGTTCAGATCTAAAAGTAACATCCTGTAAATAAATTTCAATTTTAAATAGCTCTTTTTGCAGTTTGTTATGAAAATTATTCATTAATAAATCTTGATTTTGAATTCTAATTTAAAAGATTTCTGAATAGGAATAGATTTCTGAATAGGAAGATTTCTGAATAGGAATAGATTTCTGAATATATCTTAAAGGAAAGATGTTTAAAAACAAAATTTCAAAAAATATTTTTTAATAAAATACAGCAATAAAATCAAGGATTAAAACACAATTGAAACTTATTTAAATAGTGTAATAAAAAATTTTCTGAAAGATTGGAATGAGTTGTTAGATAAAGTAATGCTTATTTATATTGAGATTATATTTTTGGAATTTAATTCATTATATTACATGATAATATTAAAACAACATATCTATTTTACTTACTTTTTTAATTTAGTTATTATTTTAGATTTTGTTCTTTTTTTTTAATCGAAAAAAATCAGATTCAATTGTTAAATTCTGTATTGCCTATTAGAGGTGGGGGAAGAAATACATATATGCATGCTTATTTTTCATAGATTTTGCGGTCACATGTAAAAATTACGTCACTTAATTACGTCACTTAAACCGCTTGCGTAAAATTGCGGTCGTTACATAATATGAAAAATTTATTAGTTAAAGCTGTATTAATTTTATTTTTTGTTTTGTTTTATTTTTGTTTTATATGTTTTCGTTCGTTTATATTTTTCAGTGGAGAAAGATGTACAAATGCACTTATTTCTAAATTAAATTATTTTTAAATTTATTATCTAGATATAACGGAATTAAATGATCGAAATGCAGGTGCAAAATAATCATTATGCAACATATAAATCTTTAATCTAATACAAAATTAATTTGATAACGTTTAATTTTATATTAAATTTTTTGTTTATGTTAGTTTATATAAATTACATTTATTATTTATGCAGTAATTATTAATTTTACTTTGATGCGAATTGACTTTTATGAGCGATCCTTCAAGCCAATATTGCACTTGGTTAAGGAAAATTAAATGTAATAATAAGGTAATTAAATATTTATAAAAAATTATTTAAATATTTATAAAAAATCCTTTTTTAACAATTAACACAACTTTGCCAAATTTATATATTTCATTAATTTAATAATTACGTGATTACATACATACAGTTACGTAAAATATTTGTATATCTTCTTATAATCTGAAGAAATTCCATGTGTACGATAAATATACTTAACGTTTTATCTTCGTTCTTTTTTTTTTCTTATACTTAACGCCCCCTTTCGTTCATATGTTCTTAAATCTTTCAACAAGAATTCTACAAGATTTTGTCTCCTCCTCGTTTTTTTTCGATTTTTGATTCGATATCGCTGACGTGATCGCGTCAGAATTAATATCATATATAAAAGCTCATTCATAATTTGATTTTTAGATGCTGCCGCTATGAAGAACCTCCTTTACAAAACTACCTACGAGACGATAGCAACTGTGTTTCCAATGGAAATTTCCATTACAGTTGGCATGCCGCGCACACGGCGTGACTGTACAGTCAACCATAAAAGTGGGAGCTCTTTCATTGCTTCGTCTATTTAAAATGATGGTCACGATGCTTTCTCTCTCTCTCTCTCTTTTCTCTCTCTCTCTCTCTCTCTCTCTCTCTCTCTCTTCTTCTTCTTCTTCTTCTTCTTC